TGATAGAATACGACCCATTAAAATGACACCTCAATATAATGTATATCTCAAAATTGTACTAAGCGTAAATGTATGAAGCTATGTAAGCTACAGACCTAACTCAATTATCCCTCTTGATAACATAGATCATGTATAAAATTTACAAAAATCCTAAACACCAACATTTTTTGTTCATAATATTTTAAATATTAGCAGAATTACACAGGAAGACCATGATTTTAACTTGAGCCCTTTCGGTGTAGCCATTTCTGACAGCATGCAATACATACATTTAAGCAGAGACGTATACATACGTCTCTGATTGAAGGTAAATTATAATCACTACTTAAATTTGAAACCAGGGCCGTTTTCGTTTAACCGGTTGAACCGATCGGACCAAAGCTGTTCGTCTATTAAATAAGGTCAGACCTGGTAATCCGATACTGCTTTCAGGCAAGCCTTGACAAAGCCATGCAAGGCCTGCATAAACATTTGCAGGTCCGCCAGGATTTATACCCGAAAATGTTACATTTCAAAACGGCCACAGCTAGCGGTTGGTCCGCATAAACGAATAGACCCTAGATATATTGTAAACCAGAGGGAAGCAACTGTGAATTAGAGGATACCACAATTAGTAAAGAAATAATAAAGACACATTTGTTTTACACAGATAATCCCAAATCATAATTCTTTATATCACCGTTTAAAACATTATCAACATGAAAATAAAATATATGTAACAAAAGTTAATTGAGTGCAGTCAAACGACCTGTATAGGTATTAGTGTAATCAAGTGTCAAGCTTTATTGTTTTCGACAGAATATTGTGGCATACATTTATAACAATACAACTGAATGCTGTTCATATAATTCAGTTTATTTTTAAAAAGTCCACAGAAATATACTGTATACAAAGTTATGTTGGTTTAATGCCATTAACTGGAGTTATTTCAACTAGATAACTTAGTGAATTAAACACGACAGCAAACTTCTTTGATCAAAACTGATAAATTCATTTTTTTTTTAACTTTGTTAACCTTAGCGAGGAATAACAAAATTAAACAACACTTAAACTAATGAATTAAGTACACATTTACACTAAATTGTTCATTGTTTGTTGATTTTCTTGTGTATTTTTATATAAACATGTAATTCTCAACTGCATTAAACAGTAAGGATCATTACTGAGTGAAAATCTTTGCTGCAGAGCACTGACCTTGAATTTTCCTCTTTTTTTCCCCTCAAAATATTTTATTAACTCTCTCTGTAGATATTTGATGCACATCAAAATCCATCGAAATTCAAAGTATTTCAATGCATTCTTTAAACCTAGAAACCTTTCCCAGTGAAAATTCCGCCCTCACCAATAAAACTCATATTTGACTAGTGATAATTTTGCCCTCACAAGTGATCACAAAATATGGTGTGCTGCATATTAATTTTCACTGTCATGATAAATTCGCCCTCGTTATGGAGGGCGAAAATGGTGAAATTTAAAGGTTGCAATTTTTTTCTCTGTATAACATGTTTATACATTCGTTTAGTTAAGAATATCAGTTTTGCCCACGAATGGTGAATATAGCAAATGCTCCAGTTTAAGAACACCAACCGATAACTATGATTCAGTTGCAAAATGTATCATATCTTGAAAACAGGTCCAACATAAAATTGATCAAAATTATCTCGATTTTCTTTTTTCTTTCTTTTATATTTCATCTTGTTCTTATCTTCAGCAAGGTCTTTGTTTGTGGTAATATGCAGTGAAAGGTAAACCTCTTGTTTCCGTCAATTTTAGGTTTAAGCATATTTCAAGAAACTTTATAGAACATATTAATGATTTGCCAGGTGTGCTATTACTGTACACAGAATGAGTATTTGTTTTTATTTTCAGACAATTAACAGAATAACAACATTGTGTAATGTTATATTTGCACAGACAAACAGCATGTAAACTCCAACATTAAGTTGTTCATAGACAACCAAGTGAATTACATATACATTGTTCAAAATTGGTTAATAACAGTTTTCAGTACAACAAACGCTGATGAACAGAAATGTTATAACATAAACATAATAAAAAAAGATTACCTTTTATTAAACCCACACAACTAAAATTGATTTTAAGTTACTTCATACCCATGTATCTATATAAACAGCCTCACAGCCCGATACAAATGTAACACACAGAAACACACAGCCGTATACCTATGTACAATTTAATTGTACAGCTACAAAATTAATGCCGTCTACATGGACATATACAGAATACATTACGAGCCCATCTCCCTTCAACCAATATACCTTCACAGGAATCTACAGTCTATCCCACTATATCTAGTTTATATGTTGCAGAAATATTATTCTCATACTGCATCATTTTACTAATGGAGTTCAGTTGCAACAGAAAAAAACATTGACAAATTAAATAAGAGTCCCAACGGGCCTGAACTGTTCTTGTTCTTTAATGATATAGACTAAACATATCTTATGCTGGAATATTTCAAAATTATTTTAAAAGTTTTCAGTACCTTTGACCTCTGTCAACTGGAATATAAGTCTAGAAAATGTATCTGGAATTTTTTTTAATGATCTTAAACCCCAAAAAGCTTATGGCTAATATCTATAAAGTAGTTCTTGGGAAGTTATTTAAATTTTTTGAGACAATTTCTGTGCCCTTAGATGAAGGTCAAGGTCATTTATTTCAATAACTTGCACAGTTACTCATCCAGCAGGCTCAAGGTAAACAAATTTTACTTTAGGTCTTATGGTTCACTATCAGAATTTGGTTAAATATTTTGACACAGTTAAGTACCTCTGATCATGACCTGGAGTGTCGGTCAAGGTCTATTTTCTCAAAACAGATGATATTCCTTTATCCTACCACGTTAAAGCTAAACATGATTCCACGTTAAAGCTAAACATGATTCCACGTTAAAGCTAAACATGATTCCACGTTAAAGCTAAACATGATTCCACGTTAAAGCTAAACATGATTCCACGTTAAAGCTAAACATGATTCCACGTTAAAGCTAAACATGATTCCACGTTAAAGCTAAACATGATTCCACGTTAAAGCTAAACATGATTCCACGTTAAAGCTAAACATGATTCCACGTTAAAGCTAAACATGATTCCACGTTAAAGCTAAACATGATTCCACGTTAAAGCTAAACATGATTCCACGTTAAAGCTAAACATGATTCCATGTTAAAGCTAAACATGATTCCATGTTAAAGCTAAACATGATTCCACGTTAAAGCTAAACATGATTCCACGTTAAAGCTAAACATGATTCCACGTTATAGCTAAACATGATTCCAAGTCCTATGGTTCTTGAGAAGACATTTGATATTTTAACACATTTGACACAAAACAATTAAGGTATGTTTATGCTATTTGTTAGAACGAAATCTAGATAGCCATTCACCCCATCAAGTTACATGTCAAACATCATCACCTTAGCCCTTTCATCCCTATATAACTTTAATTTAGTAAACTCTACCATGCATTGATATGAATGAGTCCATTATATGGTCTACAGTGGTGAAAGGGTTAGACATTATGGTTCTTATGAAGATGTCATTGAAAATAAAATTTTACGATTTAGAGAAAGACATATGAAGCTACACTGAATCATCACTCACATTTAATGAACAATAATTATAAAAATAAATGGTTGAATGATCTGTTCCAATACAAGAAACTGAAAAAGAAGTTAGATAGGATGTTGTAATGATCTTGCAACATGAAGTATTTACCTTTTTTTTTATTACAACTCGAACAATATGAGAACTTAACGTGTTTACAGTTTCTGAGATTCAAATCCATATGCTTTCCAACTGGACATATAAAAGTATTCTATCAACTAAGGTGTTTAATTTTGAGTAAAATAAAAATACTGGAATATGTTAAGCTAATGATTAACTATTAAACATGATATTCACAAGAAGAAAATCACTAATGGCAGTACACGTTTAAAACAACTCCTTATACCAGATTACCTAAATGTTACACCACATGTTCTCAAATCGTTAGGGGACCACAGAAATGCATATTCAATCATTCATATAATAATTTTATTTAACACACACCATAAAAGAAAAATCTTTCTTGCCTCATAAATTTAAAATTAAGAATCCAAAACCTCTAGAGCATATTTCTTTTTACGTTTTTTTGATAATATTCTTTTATTTCAAGATCAATCTACGTTAAATTGTGGTACGATAAATCTTAGTAAACTTTTCATAACGAAAAGAATATTTTATACATGTTGCATTCAGGACATGATGTGATAGAGTGTGGCAGGGACCCACACACCCTCGTTAACTCGAGGACAAGCAATTCACTTCGGAGGACAGTGACAACTGTGTCTAGAGAGGATCGCTGCCACACAGCTAACTAAACTGTTTTTTCTGCCTGATTATCACATTCTGGATCCAAATTGCAACCTTTTGTCTTAATCTACCACAAACCTGTTAACTTTTATTCACTTAAGGATGTATGTTACACCTTATTGTGATTTATTTGTAACTCCTTTCAAAACGACTCCCAAACTTGTAAAAACCTTACGTGAATAAAAATTTTGCATCCAGGAAATTGAAAACACATTTGAAAAAAGATACACAAGACCACAATCAGTTAATTTGAATAAGTAATGGAGAAGCTCTTAAAAAATCACAGGTAAAATGTGTAGGGCTTGTCTTGATGCTGCTGCTTCAAACTTTCCCATTTAATTGAAACAAAACAATTAAAATAGCAAAAAAGTACCCACATTTATATTCATATGTATACAATTGGTTCAACACACAGCTGTATGGCTGAAACAGCATCCACAAAGTTTTCATCGTTTAAGCATTTATCATTCTTTCTCAAAACGAGAAAACTGTATCATGGCTATTTCCACATCACAACTGACAGACACCAATCTGAATATGATAGTTTTCTATGTAACATTAAATAAGTGTCTACATTGGTAAAAAATACACTAAAACATATAAAATATAAGGTTATAATGTGTTGAATTTCACTGTAAGAAAATCATTACCTAAGTAAATGGAAAATCCTTTCTTAAGTTATGGGTGTTCTAGAAACTAAGCTCAGACATCGTGCCTACTTTTTGCCTTATCATCCATTAATCTCACATAGGAATGAAAACTTGCATGAAAACATAAAATATACAGAAAACGAAAGTAACAAAAAAATACTAAATTGAAATAACAATATTATTATAATAAATGGGCAATATAATATAGCAAAGGACATTTACACTTAAATTATTTATACCACTTGAGCACAATTGTAATTATTCAATAATTTAAAATAAATACCTACAACACTTTAAACAATACAAGACCTCAACAATACAATCTACATATTTTTTCATTCTGAATTCACCCTGTACTGTCAGTCAGACTTCTCACCTTCATGGAAAGTTGAGCTACTCAACCGTGGATGAGAATATAATAGATAAACTGATAACCTGTGTTAAAACAGTTTACACACATCATGATATTTACATCACAATACAATTTAACTTACTCAGGAATCAACTAATTCATAAGACAATATCACTGTATGGTTTAATAGTAGTTTTATAAAACTTACAAGACAATATTACTGTATGGTTTATTAGTAGTTTTATAAAACTTGCCAGACAATATCACTGTATGGTTTAATAGTAGTTTTATAAAACTTACAAGACAATATTACTGTATGGTTTATTAGTAGTTTTATAAAACTTGCCAGACAATATCACTGTATGGTTTAATAGTAGTTTTATAAAATTTTAATCTATCTTGTCAGACTTAAGCTTCTCTCCTAAAAGAACTAGGAAACATCTGTAAGACATTAATTCCTACTTGGCCCTGTGGTTGACCTATAAATAGCAACAGTGACCTTGACGTTGACATTGGGACCTTAAATTAGGAACTCATCCGAGGTCTTTGCATACTTGACCTTCATATAAACTTTGATGAAAATCAGTTTAAAATCTATCAAGAAATGAGATCAGCAGAGTTTGAACAGACATGGGTAACACTAAATGCCCTCCATAAAATGGCAGGGACATGAAAAATGGGACTACTTTAATAGCAGATGGTGAGAATCTTACAGATGAAACCGATCACCAGTGTAAAACAGGATGTCCATTGTTACATTTGCTTCATGTTACGATACTGTGAAAACAAGAGACCCATTGACCTTGATTTGCTCACCTGGCTAATTTCGAAATGAAGTTGATATCTGCCCAGATATTGTGAAGGATAGCCCTCAGGAATATTAGCCACTTTACCTGTATAACGCATGATCCTGAATTACTCAGATGTTACCAACTTAATTCGGTTAAAATTTGACCACCACTTTTGGAAGAGGTGTTATAAATGATTGAAATTGCAATATTATATAGCACTGGTTGAAACTATGAACCAGATTTCTATCTTCTGACTATTCTACAAGCCTTTTGGAATCACTTTCTGATGATGATCAAAAACGTTTCAACAGAAATTCATAGGTCATATTAAGCTCATTACTCATGCCAATTTTGCAAATAAATTTGCAAAAAAAAAAAAAAAAACAGCATCTGAAAAAATCCTATATCTAATTGACTAGTAAAAAAATGATTACAAAGTCAGCACAGCTATATATATAATCAAAATACTATTTAGACTAGCTTTTTTTTTTAATACATAGTTATCAATAAAAAATCGAATTAAAATATATTTCTAATAAAATTATTGAGTTTAGTGATTTCTTCTTCAACAGCTGAGATATTTTAGTAAAATCTCATAAGTTATTACCAGATGTTAATACCGAGACAATATTCAAACTGTATCTAGTTTAAAGTATCTGGGGTTTTCCCATTATGATTATAGGTGAGAGTAGTGAAATGAGACATGGCTAATGAAATTCTGTGGTTGAACGTTTCTGACTTGTTATTGCCAAAATGACAAGTCTGCGAGACAGAGAAAGTAACGGCACAGTCCGCAAATAATTATGATATGGATTATTATATTTAGATACCATATTTATCATACAATAAGCCCAGGGAGTGAACACATTATTTCTGACTGAAAGTGTGGCGGGGATAGAGCTTATTACAGAACAATGAAACAACACTTAACTCTAATATATATGGCTGGGCTTATGACCAGGTATGTGCTTATTGGCATATATACGGTAATATAAATAATAGGAAACACTTTGAAGGGCTACAAATGTCTAGGAACAGAGTTATATCAGTTGATAAAAATTGTTTCTATCCTCAGTATTGAAACAAAAGTTTGAACAGTGAATCGTACTGATACAAAATTTCATCCTTCCTAGCAAACTGACTACGCTATCCTTTTAAAAATAAATACAAAATCTACAAAACTATTCTTATGATGCAGTTTATATACAAGGAACCAGCCCTTTCTGTTACTATGATCACACACTGGCGAGTTGAGAAAATCTTAATTATTCAATTTAACACATATATACTGTTTTAGATGAGTCAAGAGACAACCACATATGAACGGACCCTCAATATTAACAAGAAACTATTTCCACATGATTTGCCCCATTAACCAATTCACCCCTAAAGTCACATTTGAACCTTACCAAATCAAAGACTGGGCAAGTCCAGTTTAAATGTATAGGGGTGAAAGAGTCAAAACATTTATCCAACACCAAACCATTTTTCCCTTCTGTATAAGAAACACAAATAAAATAAAATATCAAGTCTATTAATTAGTTGAACATTGCAATGACGTACAACAAATTAAAACTTAAGCACACCATGTGTGATAGCAACAGGAAGTAGAATAAGTGCAAAGATAATTAAGTTGCGTAACAATGGTTTCCACTCATTGGGCACAAAGTACTTGGCCAGGGTGTTGGTGACCTTGGAGATTTCATGGCTCACACAGATAAAAATGAAGGACGTGATGATGACATTCAGCACAGGATAGCTCGGGATCAAGGCCAGGACTCCGTTGGTGTCTGCGGCCAGCCAGATGTGGTACTGAGCAATGAACAGCTGTGAACATACAAAACACAAGTAAACAACATGGATTTGACAGAAAATTATATATATATCAGAGAAAAAAATTGCTGCAACTTTTAAACAGTGATTATTACACCAAAAAAAAACAACTGGAATGAGTTTATTTAAAAGGTCTTAAACTATAGTTTTAACCATTAAATGCTCAATTTTCAAAATTAATAATTCTTTTGAGTTATTTCATTATCTCTATTTTAAGTTGATTCAATATCTCTTTTATTATGAGTTAATTTATTAACTCATTTTATTATTTGTCTATTTTGACTTGATTCATAATTTCCATTTTGAGTTAATTCATCATCTCTATTTTAAGTTGATACATCATCTCTATTTAAAGTTAATTCATTTTCTCTATTTTCAGTTAATTCATTATTTCTATTTTGAGCTATAGTATTTGAGTCTTTCCATTTTGAGCTAATGTGGCGTCAAAGAACTAACTGTTACCTCGAGGGATATCTTTCCAAACCAAGCAAAAAAGGAGCTGTACTTTGTTCTCAGCCAACCGGGGACATTTCGTACTGTTATGTACGAGACAATCTGCAAACAAACAAAAGGTCAATAATGGTGCCTCCAACATCCGTAAATCAAGGGAAGTAATTCTCAGCGTTAAGGGAAATAATAATATAAGTATTCAATGTGAACAAGGGGCCGGTTTGTTTATGCGGAACAAACCGTTTGTCTGTTTTTAAATGTAACATTTTGGGTGTAAAACCTGGCGGACCTGCAAATATTTATGCAGACCTTGCAAGGCTTGGTCAAGGCTCGTCTAAAAGCAGCATCAGATTACTAGGTCTGACCTTATCTCATAAACAAACAAGTCTGGTCCAACCAGTTCAACAGTTTAGACCGTGATAAACGAAAACGGCCAAGGTGTACAAATCAGACATGCATTAGTGCATATCGTTTTACACTTTACAGTCATACAGCGAGGGGTCAAAAGTCTTTCATGCTACGTTTTTTTCGCAACATATAACAAAAAATCAATAATTTTCCTGACTCTCTAACTAAAGGTGCATGTTTATTTTAATATTCAGACCTTATTACATGATTTTAATTTAACAAGGGGTGGGCTTATTACCAAGCATGGGCTTATCAGTGAAACATTCGTAAAACAGAACAAGCACCAACAGTGTATTACAAAGGTGAAGTATGAAGGTGTGTACTCACTGGAATGAAGACGATGTAGGAATGGTAGTCATTACATTCCCTTTTGTTCTTGCACAGAAATGCGAATGCAGCAAAACTCTGTAAAGTAATAGAGAAAAAAACACTGTGAGTTCAAGGTACTATATCAGGGGATCAAGTGTCCTCCCCAGATAATTCTTTACAGATTCTGAATCTACCACTGGTTCACTCGTTGTCAGTAGTACATGTATAATGTGACCGGGCGGAATGCTGTGCTGGGTACCTACCTTCGGCATGGTGTTTCAGTGAGATAGCACTATAAAGTCGGCATCAGATCCGCGCTATTACAAGGAGGCAATTACACCAACATACCCTGTCTCCAGCATACATACACACGTGCACGCTTACACAACACACATGGAGGCACATCTTTGAATGACCTTAGATGTTAATAGGACGTTAAACAAAATAATACCAAACCAAAGCAAATTTACATATTCTGAATCTACCACTGGTGCACAAGGTTTATATAACTAAAGGTAAATCAACCTAAAAGTATCTGTACATGTACATTAATAAATGCTCATCTGTGTGGTGGTGATTTACAGAAACGACAGAAATGCAGTAAAATTTCAAAATACAAAATGTATAAGACATTGGGCTATAATTGACATATTAAGACCACAGACTCCAATATATATTCTAAATCATGTGTCACTATTTTTTTTGAGGATAAAGATTACTGAATCAATTTAATGTATCAATGATTGTGCAGTAACATCCAAAAATAACAAGCTTAAGTATCACAAAAGATACAAATCCCCTCGTGTGTGATCGCAAATAATACATACACCCTCATGTGAAAAATATAGACAGTAATATGTAACACAAGAAATACAAATCACACATGTAATATTGGACACAGATCTAGAACACTGCATGAATTTTTATTAACAGACTAACAGATGAGTAATACCTGTATTCCGATGTGTTGTTTGAGTTTAATTTGCATCACAGTTTACCTTATTCCTGCTGCTCACCTACATGCTCCCCAATATCTTACCCCATTCCTACTTACCCCTAGTCCTATGAAGCCGAGCACTACTAGGCAGTAACTGAAGCCCTTGGACACCAGAGACTCGGTCGTAGTGTCGTTGATAATTCTAAACTTGATCAGCATCTGGTATGTAAAGGCAAACAGCATCCCAAAAAGCACACTCTGTAAAGTGAGATAAGTGTCGTGGATTATTGAATTGGACTACATGTAATAAGTTGGTATTTATATCTTGTGTACAAGTTTGTAGCTAAAATGCAGCTTTAGACCAAGTTACTCCAGAAAGGATAATACAACTCAGATATGAAGGATATGAAGTTATGAACATTTATTATAGGGATCAGATAAACAAGAACTTAAAACATGAAATGTATCCTCTATGAAGTATGGTATATAATTATAAGAACCAACATGATTCTTAAAATGAATATTAAAAACATAGATCAAGAATACCAACTAACTATTGTACATGTACATTCAACAGGTGTAACAAAATAATCATGACATAATAACACAAATTTTACAAAATAATTTTGGCCCTTGGGAATTATTTCTCAGCTGCTTCTGTATGGACTTGTAGAGTAGGTCTGTCCATGTTAGTAAAAAGACTTATAAAATTATGAAACAGACCTTCCACGATCAACCGACTAGAACAGGGATGTTCTACGAAATAAGGGGATGGCACCACTGCCTAGAACAGGGATGTTCTAGTGTAGGAGAACAGGGATGTTCTATATCTAACAAGGTTGAGTGGTGCCATCTGTAACCAGTGTGGTTAACATATAACACAGAAACAAACATATAACACAGAAACAAACAGGAACACAGACACAAACAGGAACACAGACACAAACATATAACACAGACACATACAGGTACACAGACACAAACAGGTACACAGACACAAACAGGAACACAGA